AAGTGTCCTTCCATTTTTGTGCATACAATAGTCTTGCAGCTGTCAGCATATAAAATAACGAAGTTCCAATTTTTTTCTCCAGTTCTTTTTCCATTAGAGGAAAAGTTCTCGTTTTATTTTTATCTCCATTTTCAAAACTTTCTGTATTAAAATATGAATCATACTCCAATTTTTTTTTCCTTTATCACATATTCACCATGGATGATAAAAGTTCCTTTTTTACTTTTTACACTTCCAACATTCACTTGATATACTAGACATTCTAGATATCTAGTGTTAAATACTAATGTTATACTATCATATAAATTTTCTTTTAAATTACAATTTAATGTCAATTTTAAACCCTTCATCCACATATTTTCCCATTGTACAGCATCACATTATATCGATACAATGGTTTTATATGTTCATTTTCCAAATTCAATTTCAATAACATTTTATAGATCTTAGCAATAATATGTTAATCCTTGCCACATAATGAAATTTCCAATTCATTTTTAACAAAGTCAAATCCATAGCATTTTTTAATCCAGTTTAAACCTTTATTTCAGTTGTTGATTGGTAAACCAATGGCAAATGTAACCCTTCTGATTCAAGTTCTTCCCTCAGCTTTAATATTGGGTCACCTGAGTTGAAATTCAACCAGTCTAGCTTTGCCACCATTTGTTTTCTGAAAAAGGCTTCCTGTGGTGACCCACAAAGGGTCTGTAAGGTTTTCTAAAAATTTTCCTGATTGATTCATGAGTATCAAGTCAAGGTTCAATTAAAAAAAAAACTAGTCATTTATTAGGAGCACCAGTAGCCAAGATCTATTCGGTCTCTGGAGTTTCATTCTATGTGGCTGCCAGATGTTTTCTTTTGGAGGGTTCCCTGCTTGGGTGGTGTTTCTGCTTGCTGGCATGGAAAGGGTTGGGGCCACTTTTCTATCCTAAGTCTGCAGGTACCCCCTTGTCACCAGATGGTCGGTCCCCAATTGTCTAGCCAGGAGAGTCCCAATATGGCATCTGTAATTTTGGGGTAGTATGAATCGAATTACTTCCCAGTGATCTACTATTTCTAGTCTCACTGGTTTGGTCAGGTGGGTGGCATAGGCTCCTCCCAGGAGGGACCCCTCAATCTGTTCGAACCAGATTGGGTGGGCCAGTCTTTTTGCTCTGATCCCCAGGTTCAGGTCTGTGGTCAGGTTGATCAAGCATCTAGTGCAGCCTGAGTCTATTAGGGCTTGAAAATCCCCCTGGCTTCCTGTTTTTGGGGCTGTGAGGCGTATTGGAAGAAGGAAAGGGCGAATTGGTCCTCTCACCATTGGGTCTTTTTTGCCATCGTCGTCACTGTCATAGGATTCTGGTGACTGGTCGTTGTTGCCTGGGGTTCCCCCCGACTTCTGGGTGCGGAGGGACC